CTTTCCCTCTCTCTCTCTCATTTAATCCATGTCTAATGGTCTCATTTAATACATATGTAATATATGTAAAAGGAAGAAGGTGGGCGTACACGTGTGTGTGTATGTGCGTTGAGTAGAGGCACAGGGAAGGGTGGGATTTTAGATGTATGTGCGTGTAGGGGGCTAATGGGAACTTAGATGAATGTGCATATATAGTGTATATGTATGAGCAGAGACAGCAAGCAACTAATTGTAAGTGCACGTCAGTGTGTGCATTCCTAAGGAAAGTAGCCTGTAAAATTGTGTGAAGGTCTGGAGGGACGTCCAGGTGGGACATTTGTTGAGGTCACCCTGAGACCTGGCTCTGGTAGAGCATCAGGTCTCCTTCGCCTCTCCCAGAGACTCTTGCTCATTTTTCCTCTCTTAGATCTTCTCTGCTCCTTCCCTGTCTCCCCCAGTAAGAGCTGCTGACTGGGGCAGGTCATGGCATCCTCGCTCCTGGAGGATTTTAAGGGCGTGTTGGATTAAGACCTCTCAGACTAGAGCTGAGCCTGACTTGGAGCAGCAGAGAGGGACTATCTGACCTGTCAAAGGCCCTTCCAACCCCATTTTGTCATCACAGAAGTACGGAGGAGGACAAAACCTAAGGAAGAAAAATGTGCTGTAGAAAGTAGCTGCCAGGTCTGGGGGAGCGGAGCGTTGACTCTGCGGTGTGTCGGGTGGGAGGCAAGCGGAGGGGCTGGCAGGAGCCCCACCAGTGAAGGGCAGGGGGATGCAATCAGAGCGGTGAGGAGCACCGGCCAACAGCTGTGAAGAACAAGTTCCATGATCTCAGCAAGAAAGGGAAGAAGGATGGGGGGGTCATTAGTCAAAGAAGCAAATCAGGTCAAGGGTAGGAGAGTCTTGGTTTTTCTTAAAAAAAAAAAAAAAGAAAAAAAAAAAAGGAGAAAGAAGTGCATTTTGTAACATGGAAGAAAGGAGGAAAGGAGAATGTTGAAGGGATAAGAATCCAGCAAGGGACTGCAAAAATGGAGCACGATCACAGAGGAGATTTGAAGCCAGGCCAGAGGCAAAAAGTAAATAGTAAAAATTATCTGTCTGACAGAGCAGAAAGGAAAGTATTTGAGGAGAGAAAAGGAAACAACCTCTAGATTTGGGGATGGGTGATGTGGGATTGTCCAGGCGAGATTTGCTTGCGTTTGACAAATAGATGCATTTGGCTAGGAGGAACAGCAGAGCTGCAGAAGAAGAGAGAGCAAAGAGGCTTCCAGAGTCTAGCAGCTGTAGACAAAAGCAATGAGAAGCATATGTTGGATGAGCCAAGGGTTGTGGATAGTCCAGCAGACTTTAGAATCAAAATGTTGGACAACACAACTCGAGTGAGGAAGAGTAAAGCAGAGGCGGATGAGAGCGAAGGCTGAGAGCCGATCAGTCATCCTTGATGAAAGACTGGGAGTCACGGAAAGGGTGAGGGGCAGGGGGAGATGATAAAGGCTGATGTTGAAATAAACCATGTGATGTGTCTTAGTGTTAAAATGGGGGTTTCTGACATATTCATCATTTCGGTTAATGCAAACACAAAGTGCTTCTGGTTCTTGCCGTGACCTGGGCACTTCCCTAGCTTTCGTTTCCACATTATCAGACTGCCTTACTATCTTGAAGGTAATTATCTTTACAGCAATATGGGTGGTAAGGAATTGCTATTCTGTAGATAGTGAACCGAACTGCCTGCAGTCCTGCTACAAATGGAAGTGAGAATTGAAGCCAGGTTTCTTCAATCCTCAACTAGTAGCTTCAACACTGGCTCATCCTCTCTCTGAACTCCTGCCTTGAGCAGGAGCCACTGTGAAATCATACTTTCCATGCAGAAATAAATTTTTGGCATATTTTAATGGTTTGTTTTGTGATGCTAAAAAAATAAAAGTTGTAAGCTACTTTTGAGGTTGTTATTATTGAGACAAAGCTAAGCCATAGCTGTGTATCTGCTGGTCGATGCAGAGTGACATTGCAGAAGAGGCTAACAGGGATGTTAGTGACATTGGCCTGCTTTTGATTTTCTCCGGTCTGTTTTTCAGATAAACCGTGAAAGCTGGTGTTCGCTGGAGCCATGTCCTGATTCTTCCCTGCTGGAGCGCAAGCGGACACGGGAGTCTCCAGGTGAGCAGCGTGCTGGTGGCGGCTCTGGACAAGCAGCCCTGCAGTTCTCCTCATCTTTTCTTTCCTTCTTTTTCTTCTTATTTTTGACATCCTTGTCTCAACCGGGAAAATACATAAAGTAAAGAAAATGTATAATGAGTCTGCCATGAGTCGTTAGCACATGGATGTAGCACTTGACTTGCAGTGAGCTGTGTGGTGTGTCACCTTTGAAACAAGTAGAGTAATTTATCCGGGCTCTGAATAGTGACTTGGTTTGGACTCTTCATAGAGAGGATGTTTCTTGCCTTGCTTTCATTATGAGCAGGGGTCTCACCTGAATCCCCTTCAATTTATCGAGGAGTCTTGAATGAAAATCGGGTTTGAATACGACTGTCAATGTGAAATTCAAATGCAGACTTTTCAGGGAGTAGGCTAAGAAGGAATAGTGTGCATGACTGACCTGAGGGGTTTATTCTAGGTAGAGGTTTTAACTCCCATCAAAGTTAAATAAGTGCTCTTTTATCTAAAAAAAAAAAATAGCGCTCTGTTTAGAATAGTCATGAGCAGTAAACAGCTGCTTCAGGTGTTTTATAGAAGAACGCGTGTTTCACCACTCTGCTTCTTTCCTAATTGTGTCCCCAAATCCCCTGCCTCTTGGTATGATATTTTTACACTTCAGGCAAGAGTTATTGCACTCCGTTTGGCTACAGAATGACGCACGCTCATTTGACTTGCCAAATCTACTGTCATTTATTCCTATGGATCAATATTAGTTAAATACTTATTAATTATCTAATGTAATATCATACTATAGTAATATAATCATTATGTAATCAAGTAGCTGTATATACAAATATATATCAATAATTATAGTAATACATGTCTGTAGGACAGGCACAAAGAGGCAGGTTTTTAAGTTGATTAATGTGCTCTCTGGCCAGACTGAAGCAGCAGGAAGATCTCAGACTTTGCAGAGCCAGGCCTTTCTAGAAATAGTGTTGTTACTGCACATGAATCCCTCTACCTGCAGTAGGGTGCTGTGCAGTGTAGAGAGGCAAGAAAAAAATCTGGCAACACTAACAGCAATAAAACCACTATCTGTTGTAATGTGGCTAACTTTTAATACACAACTTGATAGGGCATTAGATCTTGTTCACCTGCTGAATAATCCTGCTGAAATGGCTTGTAAGGACAGAGTCCTCAGATCTTAGAAGGTAACTCCAGAAACTGTAGCTTTTCATTTTCTGTCAGTGCTTTTGAAATGAAATGCCTGGAGCAGTGTGGCAGATACATAGCTATCAGCATGGAATTGGAGAGCTCAGCCCTGTCTTGGAGGACACGAGGCTTTGGAAAATGTACGTAAAAGAGTTGCTTGGAAATTTTCTTCTGAGGGCTTTTTACTATGTAAATTTTTTTTGCTTCTTATATTATGTGCAGAAGTGTGTTACCATCATCTTTGCATTTTTGGCCGGCACCTCACAGAGAGGAGCAGATAAACACAGCTGTGCTACCAGGCCAGTGTGTGTAGCAAGCAGGGGTGGATGTGTGACGGGAGTCACAGTCCCCGTGTCACGGCAGTGCTGTCACCAGGGCTTGCCAGGTCACGGGTATGGGAGATGGAGCTCAGCATTGTGCAATGTCTGTGCAGTTTAAATCAAAGAAAACAAACCCAATGAGCTAAGGGAGAAAAGAAGGGGGGAAGACACCCCCCCCCCAGAGAACTGAAAATAAAGAAGGGAGGGAAAAGAGGGTTTGGGGGTGGGTGGGGAGTGTCCCCATCACTCTGCTCCTCATCGTTCCTCCCCACTGCTTCATCTCCTCTGTCCCTTGGAGGCTCCTGCAGAGCTTTTTGCTGCCTTTTGTGATTTATCATCGGGGTGAGGTATCCATCCCTTGGCGCAGCTGGACTGTCCCTGCTGATTTTCCACTGGAACGTGGCTCGAGACCCTTTGTTTTTCAGTCTGGGCTGCGGACACGCGCTGCCGGCTGCCAGCTGGACGGCCGGCACCCTGGCCCGTTCCCTTACAGCCTCTCTGTCTCTTCTTTGCTTTTCCCTTCTTTTTTTTTTTTTTTTTCCCCTCTGCTCTCCCCTTCTCTTCCCCCTCCCCTCTCCCCCTCGGTGATGGAAAAGCAGTTCAGATTTTCCAGGTTTACCGAAAGGGGAACAGGACCGGGGAGCAGCCGCACTGCCTCCAATAAGTGCTTTTCCAATTCTCCACGGTGTGGAAACTCCTCTGCAGGGTAATGGGGTTTCCGAGCGGTTTCAGCCCCCCGTGCCTGAATGGGGGCAGCCCTGCTGCCATCAGTAATTTGACATTATTTCCTCCAACAGTGGCTCGCTCCCACCAGCTGGGCTGTGTGATAGCTGCTGTCAGGTGCAGGTTAAGGATGGGGAAAGAAAAAAGGTGGTTTTGAGCTGCCCAAACCTGTCATCATTGCGTTGATGTGTAAGGTTGGCAAAGCCAAGGACGGAGCTCATCAGGTGTCATTTAAGAGTGAAACAATATTTTAGTGCTCTGGTTCCTCTCCAGGGAGCTAAACATGTTTTGGAGCTGTTTAGTTAGAGCAGGTTGCAAAATAACACCTTTCTTTTTTAACAAAGTACTAAAAATCAGAAAATATTTTGAGCTGGGAGAAAAGAATGTTCAGTTATTGCCAAGATTGTCATTAATATCTTTGCCTGAAGGCTGAACAATTGAGATTATATACAGGCATTTGTAATGCAAATACATGTCTGTTAAGGTTTTTGGAAAGGAAGGGCTTTCTCAGGGGCTGTACTCTATATATTCAACCCAATACAAACAGCTGGAAGCATTTTAGAAAAAAAGAGATGCAATATGCTTGTATTTCAATGTCAGGAGTTATGAAAGCTGTGAATTTTTAAAAAACACTTTATTTTTGAATCTTAAGTAAAGCTGGTCATGGAAGTCATAGTAGTGCTTTTTCAGTGAGAAGTATAGAAGAAGGAATGAAATAATTATTCCAATATGCATTAAAAGCACCTTGGCATTTGGAGGGAATTGATTCTTTAATTGAGAAAGAAAGGAAAATAGTCAAGTTACGTTTCTACGTTTATTGAATATGAATCTTAATTTTGCAGTTGCTGTAATCGATGGGAAACATCCTGTTATGCTCAATGTGGAGTACCTGCTGTATCACATACTTATCAGCGCCTCAAGCTACAAGTATATGTGGCTGTTTAATGCAGAATTTCTGTTTCCACCATGTACTTCCATGATGCATTAAAAAGGAATCTTAAACTCCTGAATGAATTAATTGAAAATTTGCAGGCATGGTTCTGGGAAGTGAACGCAATTTATAAAGCTGTGTTTACTGTTGGTTTTAAATCCTTGAATTTACTGAATGTATTTGAGTTGGATGTATCGATGCTACAGAAAGTATCATACCATAATTCTTTCTGCTTTGCTCCTACAGAATGTGAGAACTTCTTGGAGGATGGGCTGAGTAGCGTCTGTGCCTCGTCACAGGGTGTCCTCAAAAGAGAGTCCGGGAGCGAGTCTGACCTCTTCCCCTTGCCTGGTGATGGGATGGAAGACCTTGTCTTTGGAAAGGTAGGAAAGCCTGGTTGGGATATGGTTAAAAAAAAGCTCTAAGCCCTGATTCCATAAACCCGTACTGCAAATGCAGATCGTTGGTTTCACTGATGAGTTAGAAACCTGGAAGCGATTATCCTGGAATGGAATAGATGGGAGGGATCTGGTCCTCTCTTCAGATGCAGCAACATGAGAGATATATTTACTTGCAACAGAAGTCCAAAAACTGTGCAGGCCCCGATGTTAAAAAGATGAAAGCAATTTTGACGGTTCAAAAGTAAATCGGGTGTTAGAGGAACAGTTGAAAAGGTGGATTTTCTTGCAAGGTCATTAGGGATTGCACAGACGGTGTGAAAACCATCTTTAACTAATGTAACAAAGAGCTTTTCTCCAGCAAACGGTGACCTTTGCACTGACACCTTCAGAATCATATACTGTAATTCTCAGAGGAACGAGTGTTTTTCTGTATATTCAGTGTGACTCCCTGCATAGGAAGGAAGCACTCACTCTAAATACTTAAGACCAATTCCAATGAATAGTTTTGTTGCCTAGGTGACATACCTCCAATGCCTTTTTGCGTGCAAGTAGAAGGAAAATGTTTTCAGGTTTGCTTAAAATCAACAACAGAAGTCATTGCAAACCTTAGTCATCCCAGTGCCCTTTGTGTTGCTCACAGGGAGTGGGTGAGACCTGAGATACAGTCAGGCTCCTGAACAGAGGATGACTCCCTTTGGCATTAGTCTTTTGCTGTCTGCTTCAGAGCAGCCTGAATTTATTTGGAGGGTGATTAGGTTTTGCTTTTTAAGAATCCTCTTGATGGTAATTTATATTCTTCTTGCCATAAGTAGATGATGAAAAAGCACCCAGAAAGAGTAGAGTGATGCAGAATCAGAGAGGACATGAACCTTCCTTAGAGCAGCCGTCATGTTGGTCTCAGCTCCATTAAATCAGACCCTTGGGTTCAGGTCCAGCTTACCTCTTTGAGCAGGCATGGTTCCTGCTCTGAAAAACTAAACTTTCAGAGTAGGTTTCACACTTGCTTTCAGAGAAATATATTTAATGAAACAAAATTCTGTTTGCTTAAATTAAATCAGATGATGGTGAATATTTTCCAGCGGGACGGGAAACACCACAGCCCCTAAGTGATCTCATGTGCTATAAATGAACAGTAAAGTCATCCTTAATGCATGCGGTAGGGCACAGAGCTCACCAGCCTCACCCTTTCCCATCTTACTCTCAAAGTGAAGCAGGACCCTGGATTGTGAGAATATAAGGCTGTTTGGCAGAAGAGAAGACTGACTGTCTTCAATTTTCTTGTGTAGAGTGAGTGGCAGGGATTACAACAGCCGACTGCCATTTGAGGCTCATTTAATGCTTGTATGGGGATGCATGGGAGAAGAGTGCTGTGAGAACCCAGTAGATTTTATATTGTACAGAATTTTAGCTTTTTCCCTTTCTTATGTGGAAAGTTTCCTTCTCCAAATTCGAGAAAGAAAAAACATAGAAGAATAGATAGTGCAATGTTGTAGGGATGCTGCAGGGAAAGGAGGAGGTGGTGGGGAAAGCAGATCTCCAGTTGCCAGTGGAGAGCGGGCTGAGAGAAGAAATAATTTTTTTTGTAGAAAGGGAATTTCTTAATTTGGCAGCCTTTGCATTGTTCTCATTATGCGGTGCATTGCAGACTTTGTCTGCAAATGTGTTCAAAAGGTTCCTGAGTTGAGGTTAGGAAGTCGCTCAAAGCTAGTCTTAACCTCAGTTGCTTTTTTTGTCTCTACCTTGCTGACTAACTTGATTCCTTGTCTCCTTTCTTAGAATTTATCTGAGTACTTTTTCTACAGTTAAAGTTATTTCTAGAAGGACCAGAGATGCTAGTTTAGCGTTGTGAGCTCCTTCCTTAATTCAGTCTTTTTTTTTTTTTTAATACTGAACCCAGCTGGTAGAAATGCAAGTTATAAATATTTTTAATAACCACTATAAATAAGTGCAGGGTATAATCTTTCCTCTGAAAAGTATTATAAGATGCTTGTCTTGATTATAGCTGGTTATAAGCCTATTAAATAGTACAATTTACATATCAAATTGGGAAGAAACAACATGTTTATGGATAAAAGGGGATCTCAGACCTTTCAGTGTCGTGATGATTGTTGTTATTACTGGTCCTGTTCTTGTTTCCCCTTTGTATGGAGCAAGAGTTGAACTTCCATCTATTAGAGTTGGGATTTTTGTAAAAATCACTCCTCCTCTATTAACTGCTTAGTACATTAAAAGAAATATAGGAAGAAGCCATTCTCTGTCCAGGGTCTTTGGGCTGCTTCCATAGACATCACTTGAAAGTCAGATTTTAAGCCCTGGTTTTTTTTGTTTTTTTCTCTTCTCTGAAGGACATATGCTGAGCTGCATAATGCGAGCTGTTGGGTTCAGAGAGCTTTTAGCACTAAAACCTGACTTGTTTTTTCAGACTTCAGAGAATGTCACTGAAGTCCAGAAATCGCTTCCAACAACAGGCTTCAGCAAAATGTTTTATTTTTTTGCGTCAGCGCTTCATTCCCATGTCCTCATCATCCTGCTTCTCCTTCTCCGGCTCAGCCGGCCATCTGGGCAGGCTTTGCAACACCCTCCTTCTTGAATGATTAATGCTGCGTAAGGTCATTTCTCACAATCATCTGGCAGCATCCTGGGGCGTAGCCCATACGCTTTGCTCATCTTAACTTTTAACCTGCCACTGAAATCCAGCGTTACTGGGAAGTTTTTTAATGTGCCTCTTGAGAAATGATTCAGACAAAGGGCCCTTGGGAAGTCAGGAACCCACAGATCATTGTCAAAGGAAGGGGTTGCAAGTCAACTCCTTGAATTTTGTTTAATTTCTGCCTTTGTTTTGGTTTGCTCAACGAAATACACAAATACATAAATATTTTGCATTTATTTTTTCAGAATTATTGTTTTTCTTAAAAAAAAAAACAAACGACCAAACACAAAAACCTCCAACAACCATACAAAAAACCTCAAACTCAAAGCAATAAAAGTTTGAAGATAGATATTTTTGGCAGGGGAAGACTCCTCCACTCCAAATCATAAAAATTATAATAAATAGGAGGCCAATACTGAGGTTAATTTTAGGGAGCCTGGAGCCATAGGCATATCCAAGTAAAAAATGACTCTGGTAGATTATCTGTCAAGCCAACCAAATATGTTGACTCCTTTAGTGTCATGGTATGCCAAGGAAACTTCAGGATGCCAGCGTTGGGTTTTTTTTTAATCTTCCTTTTTTTAAAAAAAAAAAATACTGTAATACTTTTAATGTCTTTGTTACATGGAAGATCAAGGGAGAGAGTAAGTTTGTGTCTCAGCACTTGACACATGGTGTCATCACAACAGTAATTGAAAGAACGTTTTAATTCTACCTATCAAGACCTCCTACAGATGAAGGGATTTAGTTGAAGTTATTTTATACCCCACTGTCCTAATGATCTTATCCCTATTCATGAAGAAGTACTCATGTTCTTTCTCAGAAAACTCACTTTTTATGCCTTATCTCATTTTTTCTGAGAGCAAAGAAAATGCCCCTTAACACATGTCTGTAAAGGCTTTTTTCAGACATGAGTTTTATGGTCACAGTGAAGGGTTGAATTCATTGAGGTACAATGCACCAAGCCTAACTTGAAGAAAATGAGTATTTCTTTAATGTTTTGTTTTTTCCTGTAGGAAAGGAACACGTTAGAGAACTGTTTCTGTTCTGCAAACAGGGTATTTTCTTACTGAAATAGGATTAAAGAGCAATGCATATTTACTGACACTTGACCAGACAGGTAATTTTTTGCAGAGGTGGTTGCAATATGCATGTTTCTTAGAAGTGTAAGCAACACCTGGCGTTTTGCAGAGTCCTGGTCTTTCATATTAACTATTTTGGTTTGTTTGGGCAAAAAAAAAAATCATTTAAATCAAGACAAAATATTTTTAGAGGAATAAGCATGGGCCACAAGTTCAAGGGATTTGTTTATTGTGTTCTGTGGTCAGGCTGATGCTCAAGGTAAAAGTCAAAATGGACCAAATATATTTCACATTTTCCCAATCTTTCTGAACTACATTTTAGGATAGAAACCCTAAATCTTCCCTGCTAGGAAAGCAGTTTTTGTTCTGCATTTTAACCTGCAGCAGTATTCTCATCTGGGAAATAGCAATTCCTCTTTTTACTCTAATTCTTCCCTATATAACTTGATGTTCTGCACTATTGTTGCTAGATTTCCATCCAAATTTAATGTTTCCAAACTGTCCCATCCTTCCCCTGTACAGCTGGTAGGCATCCTTTCTCCGCCTGCTGTGCTGCTCTCATGTCTGACAGTATTTTCCTGTGTCTCAGAAAAGCGAAGCAGACTGCTTCCTCTATTGGAGGAGTATTATCCACATAATGACTACTTAATTTGTCTGGATTTCAGCAGTTCAGTAAGCTCTCATCATGACTCACACAAATATCAGATTATCTTGAGTAATGCCAAACGACACCAAAAACTTTACAGGGCATCCATTTCAGTCCTCTCTTGTTTTAACCTACGCTTCCTATTTAAGTATGTGTCAAAGGTATTCACACAAATTCACCATTAATATTTGACATTCCTTACCATTAAATGAATGCTTTTGGAGGGATATATATTTTAGTGTATTTTTTTAATATTTTGTGCTTGAAAGGCAGATTGGACTTTGATGTTGTGCTGTGGATGCTGTCTTTTTTTTTTTTTTTTTTTCTTTTCTTTTGATGGATGGGAGAGGGAAAATAGTGTGACAGAATGTATTTAAACCACCTTAGGAACATTATTGCATACCTGGTAAATCAAAATGAGAGTAAAAAATAGCTGAACTTGAAACATGGTTTCTCTCTAGTGGGAATTTGATTAGAATACTTTTTGAGCAGCTCAGACAAGAAGCTTTTAGTTTATAATGTGTGCCCATCAAAAAAAAAAAAAAAACACAGAAAAAATGCAAGTGTCTGGAGCATCTAACTCTGCTGGGCTTGAATGAAGTCAGGGTGGTGGGATCCGAGGTGAGGACAGCACTGCTCCCATTCACTCCGCCCTGCATGGGTTTTGATGCCCATCTCTCCCCTCCGAGAATGGGATTTTGTACCCTGTTGTCTTCTGCCAAATGCAAGCTGACAGCCTGCAGCTCCTTGAGCACTCAGCTTCTGCTGAGACCCACCAAGAGCCTGCTATTTGAAGACAATTAACTGCTGTGGCTTTGCTGAATAGTCTATTATATATGGCCTGACAGATCATTCTGACTATTATTATTTTAAATGATACAGCGCAGGGCTCTGCAGGAGAATGAATTGAAACTTCCCACGTCAATCCCTTGGGGCAAACAGCATTTCAAACTGAAGGTGATGTCAGAGAGATGCTTGTGTGGTGGTTTGGTTTTTTTTCCTGCTAGCCACTGGGAACACAGAATACACACAGGCTCTTCTTGGACTGTATGGTCAGCATGTGGCCTTCGGCCAAAGAGAACCAGTCTGGCTTCCACTTACTGCTTTTGGAGCAAACTAAACCAAAAAATTGCAGTGTGACTCGAGACCTGTAATACAGAGTGGCTGATCCTGTGGAACGATATTTTTCAATTACAGTTGGATTTGAAAAATGCTGCAAACCCTGGCATTAACTTTCTGCTTAATGGAAAGTAGTGGGGGACAGGGATTTCAGCTTTTATTTTTTCTGTCTGTTTTCTGCTGCTGAATAATTGTCACTTTTATGCTGCATGATGCTGTGGAACAGTGTGTTGCCCTTGAGCTCTCAGGGCTGGTCCCCATCCCAGGTCCCCCAAGAGAGGCTGGAGTTTGTCATCAGGACTCATGATGACCCAGTTCCCCGTTAATTGCTCCCAAGAAACCTTTGGTGGTTTTATGGCACATTGACCGATAACAGGTTTAGCCAGAAATGGTGAGAGGAGCAGGATTTGCTGTGCAGGATGAAATGTGGAGTTGGAGAGAGGAAGGCAGATGGAGGACCTGAGCTGGGAGTTGTGGGGTGGAAGAGATTGCTCTGCAGAGCATTTCAGCCTCTTTCAAAACCAGAGCAAAAGTGTCTTGCTTCTGTGGTTCTTCTCATGTGAAATTTGAAATATTTGCATTTGTTTAAAATGTTAAATGTATTCACTTGATTGGAAGTGTTCCTGGTCAGGTTGGATGGGGCTTTAAGCAACCTGATCTAGTGATAGATATCCAACCCAAACCAGTCTATGATGCTACTTTAATACATTTTTAATTTTTCTTATCCACAGCAGGCTGAAGAGGAGCAGTCTGCATGCGATGTCACCAGCTCCAGTTCCTCTGCAGATGACACCATGTCCCTGGAGAGGAACTCATCCCTGGGCAGCGACACTTCTCTTCCCTTCCCGCCGATGGGGAACTTCATCCAGCCCAAAGACAGGCACAGCCTGGATGGCAGCTGCATCAACATGGTGGCCGCAGAGGGAGGAGAGAAGGAAGAGGAGCTGGACAGTATCACGGATGTGCCCGCTCCTTCCTCCGTCTTGCGAAACTCCATGCGGCCACTGTCACCTTTCCGTCGACACAGTTGGGGGCCAGGGAAGAACGCCACCAACGAAGCAGAAATAAATCAGAGGAGGTGAGTGAAGAGCTTCTTTGATTTACTTTGCACCCACTTTTGCATATTTGTCTGAGCTTTAAACTCGGTGTGATAAAATAGAAAACTGAGCGTGTCACTTATTATTTCTTTTTCACTCAAAGGGGCAAAGACAATTGCCAAACATATGTTTGTTTGGGTTTTCTTTTTAAATTAACTTTCAGGATTAAAGTACTTAATACCTACAGTACACTTGAGCTTTCCAGAGCAAATGGAACTACCTTGGGACAGGTCTTCCATCTGAGCTGTCCCACCCTTTTCTATATGAAGGGCTTTGTTAAAGGAATTATTGGAGTGTTAAATCTCATTGTCCACAAAATAAACATGACCATTATTGCTCTGATTGTGTTACGAGATAGCACCAGGGTTTTAAAAAGAGGTGTGAAGGCTCCTCATAGTGGTGAGATGAGTAGTCCCTGTGCCACAGAATTGGTTCCACCTGAGTCCCTGGTGGTGCCCAGGAAGATTCAAAAGGGAAGTTTTCCCGTTTGTTCTTTCAGAAGATACAAGAGGGAGAGGTGTAACAGCCATGTGAGTGTGTAGATGCTGGTGCCAAGTGACTGTGGGAAGAAAAGGTGCTCAGCCCCTCTTAGTGGGGAGAAAGGTGAAGTAAAGGAAGATACACACCGGTAAAGTAGCTGGTGTAAAGTTCCCCACTGTGCTCTATACCATTCAGCATCTGGGCTGCCAGACGTTTAGGGTCAAACCCTGCGTGTTCTGAACCAGTGAAGGTTTGGCCAATGTTTTTAATGCATTTGAACATTTTCAGAGCAGGAGTGGCCAGTTGTTTTATCAGGGTCAGGGTGCCGTATCCTCCCGTCCCCCCGGTGTAGACTTGCAGCTTAGTGCAGTGCAGTGCTGCTCTCCAGGCTGCCTGCTGCCCTCTTCAAGGCCATGCGTCGGCTTTTAAGATAAACACGTTGGTATCACCACTGCATTTGGTGATACCATTAAATTAAATCTGGCCACTCACAACAGGTTCTTGTAACAGTGACAAATTGTTACTGACCCATTTGGGTAATCCAGCGAGAGGCAGCAGGCTCCCATAAGACGTGTATGCATCATTTACATGGTAGGAGCTGTGGGTATCACTAAAGGAATATCATAGACTCTTCAGATTTTAAAGCCAATGTTGAAAAGCCATCAGGAACGTAGCCACATCGGGTGAAACATTATGATGATATTATTATTATTGTCATTATTATTATTGTTGTTGTTGTTGTTGCTTACCATTGACACCTTTTTTTGGCTTCATTCTGATCCCCAGATAATATTTAAATAAATTAAGTAATACCTGTCTGTTTAAAGCCACAAAAGAGTTAGCATAAGGTATACATGTAGGTTTATGACAGAATGAGTCCATAAGCTCATAAACTCATTTAGGGAGATTTGTTTTTAAGTGTAGGACCTGTTATGTGAGGATTTCTGAGGGCAGTAAACTGCATAGCTGGCAATTACTGCTAACACTTAACAGATGGGGTTAAATTCTTCTGCGTCAGACTTTGGAGGCTGTTTCTGATATGGGAAAATACATTCATTGTAAATGTAAGAAAAATTGAGTTAAAGGAACAGTAATTATTCTCATATGTTCTTAGATACAGCTGTTGCTATATAAGCGTAGCTGTCATATAGGTTAATTAGAAAAGAAAATCTGTGTGGGTCTTTGCTACTGATTTGGTTCCTGTTTGTTTTTATGTTTCTGTTACAAAGGAATTTGCATTATTTGGGTTTGGTTTTTTCTTTTTTTTTCTTTCTTCTTTGTTCTTTTCGTAGCTGTTGTGATGTTGAGATTCTGGTTGCTTAGTGAGCAACAACAAATACCGAGGAAGTGATGCCCAAACAAGTGACTTTCATACAAATCAGTTAAATTCAGGGTGTTTATTCTTTTGTTTCACATGCAGTAGCTACTTTTCCATTTAAAGGGGAAGAGCTCTTATTGTAACTTGACTTTTGCAAACCTTGAAAGTGAAGTAATACAGAGCACAAACCTTAGCAAAGGTTCTCCCTGCTCATGGGCAGGACCTGTGCTGCTCCCACCGCCTGCCGCCCCTTGCCCATGCTCCCTCTCCTCCTTTGGGCACCCATGGCACCTCTTTGCTCCACCAATGAGCAGGTTGCACTTACTAAACAAGCAGAAAATGAACCAAATAAAGCAGATTTGCCATCAAAACCAACCCAATGGCAGAGATAGCAAAGTCAAGCAAAAATAGAGCTGCTGATGCAGGACACAAACAGCCTACGAAAAAAAAAATCAGTCTTTTGTAGGATTTGGTCTTTTCTAGAGGGATGAGCATGAAAGTTTGTTCATAGAAAAAAGCAGCGGAAATGTAGTTGTCTTAAATAAAATGTGAAAACATGCTCAGTTCCCCTCTGCTTCCGCTCTCTCTTCAGGGATAATCCTCATGTCTATATTTTGCTATTAAAAATATAAAGAAAACTAGCAAGGCTGCCACAAAAGGGTGTTCATCCTTTGGTAAATTCCTGACTTTCATAGCAGATGTGAAATGCCTGTCTTTCAACAATGATGCAGTGTTTTTAACATTCAGGTCTAAGGAAAGAAACACCGGAATTTTTCACTGATGGATTAAGCACTGCATAGCTGGAGCTGGTGTTAATCACAGTTGCTAACAGCTTCTGTCAAATAGTTTGTCCTTATCTACACTTTAAACTGACCTGGCTTGGGCAGCAGCTAAGTTGCAACGTGGGCAATACCCATGAAAACTAATTTCTGTACAAAAAACCAAAACCGCAAACCAGATTTATTTGTAACATAGGGAGAGAGGAGGAAAAGAGAGACGCGTTACTTCCTTTAGTATTTAATTTGGTGTTATCTCTGTACGTCCGTTCCCTCTGTTGTTCATTTGTTGGGGATATTATTCCTTCGGCTGCCATTTGTTCATTTTTTTCCGTTCAAGCTGCTGACCACTCTCCACTATTCATTTTCAGTTCAGTACGAGTTCTGGGGGATGGTATAAAGAAGCCTCCCATTCATAGGAGAAGGTATAAAGCCAACTACCGTGACTAACCATTTTGCATTTGAATGTCTACTAACATGGCAGTATGGAGTTAGTAAACCTGTAGTACCTCTTGAAACCTTGGCGTTGGAGCTGTGCATCCTGCTTGGCTGCTTTCCCTCTCCAGACTGACCCAGGCCAGTTTTTCTGACCCACAGAACACACGTTCAAGCCTTTTTCCCCAGGACAGTATGTTAATAACTTCGAGAAATCTCACATATCATTTTGCTGGCCTTTGCCATGTGTAAGATTTGGAGTTGTGTTAAAGTAATTGTTTACTTAAGAGCATGTGCATAATTTGGATTTAAAGGATACTTCTGCCAAGACTTGCAGGAGGGGCACCTGAGGAGGGGATGCATCAGAAATGGTCTCAGAGCTGAAGAATATTCTGCAGATCTGCAGCTGGATTCATTAAATGGCTTTTATTTTGCTCTTTTGCTGTTTTTTTAAAACCATCTTCCAAAAAAATAGAAAATAAGAGGGTTTTTTTCTTTACTTCCATGTGTGTTTTTTCTTCTATATAGCAAACTTTCAGTTCCTCATCCATCGTGCAGATAGGCATTTTCACTCACGTAACCTTTGCACTGTCTATTCATACAAAATAGGACATTTATTTTTGGCACAGCAGCCGTGAACTGTCCACGCTTATACATTTTTAGGCTAAAAAAAAGAGAAGTTTAACCTCTCCCCTTCAGTGGTTTAACCTCTTCTCATCTCCAACAGCCTGCTACCTCTCCTCCTGTGGCAGGTTATCTCAGGATTTCACCCCCCTTGAGATGGATGGGCTTATGCATTTGTGTGTAAACAAACTACCATATTTCCACATATGGAAAAAGTGTTACTGTGCTGTTATTACCAAAAAAATCACCATACCTTACCATGAGTCAGCATAAGTGAAGCCATGTGAGCAATGCTGTACAGTTCAGGAGAGGGCTCTTAAAAAAGAATTTTTTTAAAAAGAGCACAAGAAAGAACAGGCTTTTTAATTTCTATGAAGACACTTCTTTTGCATCACTCTACTCTGGAGGAGGAAGTGCAGTGCTTGTCTTCTCGGCTCATGCAAATGAACATCTTTATACCAATTGTCTGTTAAGCCTCCTCTGTAAGAGCTGTGTTAGTATTTAATCATAATATCCTGAAACAGTGAGCTTACACATAATGAAAATGTCTCAAATATGGAACCTAAAATACCTAGTCCTATCTGAAATGTGTGGTAATTCTTTCATAAGCATGCTCTTTTTTTTTTCACTCATCTCCCAACCATTTTGGTATCAACCTCTCCAACCCCAGTTGTAGAGCAACAGCCTGAAACTAATTCCAACAGTTTATTCTCTCCCACAAAGCTGATGTATATAATAGCTCATTCCCCCTCCCCAAGTCATCTTCTCTAAAGGGATTTTGCATGCTCTGTGTTCTGGTTTTATGGTGTTGCCAACAGATTGTGGGTGGCTCCCCAGCAGGATTGTAATTCTATAAGACTGCTTTCCACAACCCTTGCCAAAAGGTTTTTATTCCTTCTCTGAAACCTTCCACTTCTTCCAGGCTTCCTCCTACATCTATGCATGGCTTCTTTTCTTCCCTCCCTCCTCTTTTCTGCCTCCCTTCGGCATTCATGATCGTCACTATAACATGGCAACAGTCATTGAACTTACTGAAGTGCACTACCTGGTATAAATATTACATCGTTTCTTTAATGAGGAAAATCCTCTCTCCTTCAGTTCAAAAATGACCACACAAGAACTACTGACTTTTGCAAAGAAGTCAATATAAGCATAGCTCCAAGGTTCCACCAAGTCCAGTAGACTTGGGGCCACAAGCAGATGGCTGGGGGTAGCAAGGACGGGGAAGCGTGTATGATACCTTCCTTCGGGTACTTTCTCAGCCTCCACCTGGTTTTTGCTGGGCACATTTTACTGACCTGCTGGGGGGCTGAAACGAAGCGTGAGCGTGCAGACTGAGATGTACGTTGGAGATGGGTTTACTCTGTCCAGGACTTGGTTCTTTTATGATCTCAAGCAAGGATTTAGTCACCCCATGCCTCACGAATGCTTACGTCTGCTGCCATGGTTTAGCTGGATGATGGTGATGAAGTACTTGGAAATACTGGCATGTTATGGGAAGGTACATCTTCATGAAGAATGCCTGTGGTACTGTGCTGAGAGCTACTGGTGAAGCACAACTGAAGCTTTTGGGGTGCAAAGCACAGGTACTGCAGGTGTATCCATGCCCAGTTAACACCCTCAATAAAACAGGGAGCAATTATCTGAACTCCGCAACTGAACACCAACTGTCAAACCCTTCCTGAACGTTTCCAGTGTTGTACTGTGTGTGGAAACTGTATGAGGACTTGGCATGAGATGATGCAGTCAGTGGCTTTAAACCTTCCTTTCTGCCCTGTGAGGTTTTTAATGCTCACAAATCCTGGACCAGGGACGCTTAGACATGGTTTTGCCCTTTTTGTAGTCTCCTGGCCTGGAGGAAAGCGAGCTCTGGCTATGTCCTCTCTTTGCGTGGATTGCAGGACAGGGGCTGGGAGCAGGACTTGTGCAGGGCTGCTTTGGCAGATCTGCGCTGATGCAAAATTCCCTTCAGACAGTGTGTATTTCCTGGACAGCTTTTCCAGGATTTAAGGGTCCTTTATATGCCATAGCTGACAAGAAGATTGATTTCTTTGTGTCTGCAAAACCTGCAGTTGGGCCATGAGCTGACAGAGAAAAAAAATAACAAAAGCAGTATTTAAAAGGACAATCAAAATATTTACATTCTGTATTTGCATTTCTTTTGTCTTTCATAATGCAACTTGGGACTCTTGGGGTATGGGAGCTGAAAGGTTTTCTAGTCAAAGTATTATGTGAAGGACTCTTTATTTAATCCCAAGTTAGTAGTAAGACAAGCCTGTTGTTTTCTCACAGCCTCTTTCACTGATTTGCTGTGCAACATTTAAAAATGTAACTCTCTCCTTATTTTTCCCAAGTGTAGCCTGAGGTTATTAACACTTGTATGGAGGAGTCTTAAATGATTAAATATCCGTAAGGGGTTCGTTTTCTGATTTGGGGATGAGAGGTACTAGAAAAATACTAATCGTTACTAACATACATCTGTGTGTGAGTACTTATGCAAAATCAGCTTTGGTGTGTTTCAGCCTTGTTTTCCCCAAAAACTTCTCTCCCCACATGGAGCAGTTTCTCCAGTACATTGTATACTCACTGATGGGATCAGTTTGGGGGAAGCATGTGCTGTCCTGCTACCCATTCGGTGGTTATCTCGGTCACTTGGGGCACACTGGTGTGTTCTGGCAGCCAGAAATACATATTAGCTACTGCATTATTTATGAGTTTGTTGTGGGTTTTTTTTTAAGATACACAAGAGTGAGAGTCTTTTAACATTCCCGTGTTCCGTAACAATACAATAATTACAGCCCTTTTCCTTTCTTTGCCTCTTTTGATGTTCCTAGTTTGAGCTGGTGTCCCTCTGGTGTACAGTTCATTGCCATGGGTCCTGACTTTACCTATAGAAGGTATGGTATAAATCAGTGTGCAGCAGCAGCAAAGGAGCACTGCAAACAGCCTGTCATCAGCTTTCATGCATCGTCTTTTCCGCTGTTGCTCTGGCTGAAGTGTGCACGTGTTTGTTTGCTTTGTCTGCTTCTTCAGCAATTGGTCTTGGGAATATGGGTCTTCTGAAGTGGGGTGCGGGTGAAGGTGGTGGCTGCTTTTCGTTGGCCTTGAGTTTTAAAGAAGCTGCACTGATGGTTTGAGCTGCTCTATTCTGTGATGATTTTAAGGCATGTTTTTTCCACAGCAGTGATCATAACAATAATCGTGACAGCCAAAAGATCAAAATGAAAGTTAATGTGGTTCAGCGCCGCTTTGTTCTGGATGGATCTTGTAAATTATTTAAGTTTATACAGACTTGCTCTTTGTAAATTGAAAGATTTAGTTTCTTCTTCAAAGAGGCTAATAATGTAAAACTTTCTGTGAAAAACCAACCTGATAGCCACAGATGAAGATTTCTCAGGCATTTAAAGCTTGCATCTTCTATAGAAAGTCTCAGAGCTGGGATTGATGCTTGCAGGTCAGATGTTTCCCTGATGTTTCCTACAAGCCAGTCTCACAGATTTTATAGCTTCTGATTTCTTCTGGCAGTTCTTGCTGGTTGTAGGTAGAGCTATTAAGCTCTTTTTCTGAAGACTAGCTATTGAGAAAGAAGTCAATATGTCCTTCCCATTACAGATTTAATTACATTTGGTGTATATATCCCAACCAACACTTACAGACCAGTATTACCAACTGATGACTATTTCATGGGCTAAGTTACAGTTTTGAGCTGTTTGTGTCACAACAAACTACATTATTTTTTCTACACTATAAAACACCATTGTTATCACCTTAGGGTGCAAGAAAATATTCCTCTGCCCTAAATCATCAGGAAAAATGGGACTGATTTCTCTCTGCAGGTGTTAGAATGAACTTTATAATACCTGCCATTCATACATGTCGTTGAGTCAAAATCTACCTAAAGCAGATTAAATTGTAAATGTCTCCGTCAGTCTTCTTTCTTATTAACTAACATGAAAAAAGTCTTAAAAAATTAACTAATTTTAAATTTAAGGTTTATTGCAATTTTTGCTCTGATGATGCATATTTTTTAGCCACTTAATGCTCCTAAAGGAATGCAGAACATTAATTACTGCTATGCAAATCTACTTGAATGTGAGGGTCCTCTGGTTGTTTAAGTGATCTGTACAGTCTGTAGTGTGTTTTCACTTTCATTTGCTTATATGTTAGTTTGGCCACGTAGATGTCATGATTAGCGTCAAGTTGGGATATATATCCAGGATAGGCCTTATTTCAGGCTAGCAGGGCTTTGTGTGCATAAAATCAAATATTAACCATGGAGTTGTCCTAGTGTACTAGGAGGTGAATCCGTAAAGCTTGCATATTAACCCAAACTGGCATCACAGTGGGTTTATTGATGCTTGGGCACAAGGAGCAGGAGGGTCAGAAGCACAGTATCAGGGCCAAGAAAAGATCAAATGGAAACAGTCACATGTGAAAGAGAGGTTGGTTTATATGTGAGAAGTGAGCGTGTTAGAATTTTTCTGTAGAGGTCACTTGTCTGTCATGTCTATCAGCAGCTGTCTCTACAGAGAGACCAAACCTTTTATTACTACCAATTCTACAAGCAAAACTTTGATATTTTGTTTAGCTTTGAGTGGTTATGTCTAGCTCCATTGGACAGACCTGGCTTCATCAGCAAATGATAAAATAGGATTGATTGGCTGATGGAGACAACATCTGTTGGATTTAAAAAAAAAAAGAAGAGAGAAAGGGGAAAAAAGAAATCAGCTTTGGCAGAAAGAACTATATTAATCAGTGGCAACGCTTTGTGCAGTGGCAAGTGTTAAATAGATTCAGCAGATTTATCTGTAGTGATGAACATTGCTTGCAGCCCAGAGCTGGTTTTATGGCTGCTGGGAGGGGTGGTGGTCCAGAACAGACAGCACTGTGCTATACATGGTAGTTTAATTTGAGTGTCTTGATTCCCAAGGAGAACCTAATAAAAAGGTAGTAAAGAGACTATGTGGAAATATCAAAATCTTTAGAAGAGGTATTTCTAGATTTTCCTGTGCACCATTCAAGGAGAAGAAAAGAACAAAATAAAACAAAAACATAGTAGGAAAGTCTATTGACCAGGAGTTTGGTTCTCAAACAATTATTGTGTCCCTTTAGAGGCACAAAGATGCTGCTATTTGTTCTGAAGAAAACAGAAATTCCTCCACTGCTATCTGCACTTGATCTTTGAGAAACAACATGCTGAGGAATAACATCAGCATATCCTTGCACAGTTCAGTTCGTGACTGTTGTGTTTTACGCTTGAAGGTGCTATGTGCTGAAAGACGTAGGTCCCTAAGAGTTTGTCAGGATCTAACCTCCAGGGTTTCTTTTCAGTTACAGCTTGGAAGGCCTTGCTGGAGACTCTGGTGAGAACAAGAAGCCCTCTACGAGCTTGGAGGCTGCTTCTCTGAGCTCCAAAGACCTCAGTCGGAGTCCGCTTGCCAGCAATCAGTGCGGGTCCCTGGTCTTGCTCACTGAAGAACTCGAGCAGGGGGAACTTGAAGACTTCCATCACCAGGTAAAACTGTCCAACTATTGTTAGATTTCTAGAAAATGCTACATCAATGTTTTGAAGTCATTTTCCCAAGTCACGATTTCAGTGTGAAGGCTTCCATTCTTAAGGACAGATGGGCCACAATATTATGTGAGTGTCTGCTTATTTTTGTTAAAGAAGCAATTACAGTATTAAATGCTATAAATACCTTGAATTTCTGAGTTGGAAGTTTCAGCCATAGTATTTTCTGGGTTCATGCCAGAATCGTGAACCAGCCAGTCTATTTCCCTCATAGAGTCACTGCTGGATGTCAAGGCAGTAAATGGGCCTTACAAGATCTGACCTGTAAGAACTATTATGTCAAGACTCTCATGTCTTCTCTTGCTTTGAGGAATGGCTTTTTTGGGGAAGGAGCTCCTAAGCACCTGAATTTCTTACCACGTTGAACCACAGTCTAGTTATGCTGAGGAGTTGGAATCACAGCAGTCATTTCAGTGGCCATCACACAGTTAACGATATCCATCCTAATAATATCTAATTAATATCTTGTAAGAAAATCAAGCAGCTGCACTCTCTGTTTTTTGCATAACTAGTTGTCTTCCACTTAAAAGACAAAGCAAAATGTTGCACTTCAGCTGTGTGACACCGCTTGCATTTTTTTGTGGTCCTTGCATTTCTCACCTATTACCTTATGCCGGGATCATTTCCATTTTCCACTGTTTGAAAGTGAGAATTTCATTAAACGTGAGCACCTGCAGGTGGGATGTTGTGCTTGACATATTTGCTCAGTGTGGTTCTTTTCTGTTCTGCAGATGCATCAACCATCGCCACCACAAGGATTTAATTTCTGTTCTTCCACTGTTTCATCTCCACTGACCAAATCTATGTCTCTAATGTCAATTAGTAAACCAGTGGACAGTGAGTAACGCAATTTTCCCTTCTCCTTATCCATTCTGTCATCTGTATTATTAAGTATATTTTGCTACCTTCCCAAGGCAGAATTTGCTAGTACCTGCTCCTGCTTTCCTATATTATGTGAAATATCCGTTTCACTGCTGCATGGAGTTATGGGTGGAAAGGAACAACTTGTTCAGTCTAAATCCATGTTTTGTTCTTCACAGCGTATCCCTGGTATTTCCAGTTTTGTTGGGTTTCTTTTGTTTTTTTCTTAATTAGATGACTGGTAGGAAAACTATTATTTATTGAGTTTGTTACTTATAAAGAAAAAAAGTTTGAATTTTGCATCCTTTCAGAATTTCTTCCTTTACTGTAGAGATAAATTCTACTTCAGATCTTATTTTCCTACTTCTGGATTTTTTGAAAGTTGATATATGGAAACTTGAGAATCTTGATCTGTTTGAGGGAGTTTGTTGCTATTTATTTTGAGCTAAATGTTTTGGGGCAGTTGGATGTCATTTATTGAATCTCATTCCTGAAAAAAGTAATAAAAGTTGATTAGGTGTAATTTTTCAGTTTAGCTTAATTAAAGCGATAACAAGCACTTAATTTTGCAACTTTACTGAATTGATTCTTTCAGCTGAAAAAGTCATTCAGAAGGCTGCAGCTGGATGTGCTTAGGAAGGGCCATGTTACACATGTTTTCCTTTTCTTAATTGCCAGCCAGAGACTACATTGACATATTAGATCATGTCTTGTCAATCAGTGCTGGCCTCTGATCTTTTCCTCTTTATTAACGTGCTGCTTCCTTGCAAAGCTGAACAAGGGAAAGGTGCTTTAAAGAAAGGCATTTTATTCATTTAGGAGGCTTGCTGGAGGAAGCTCAGGGAGATTGTGCTTTGTAGGAGATGTTTTTAAGTTCTTAGCCATCATTCTTCCATGATTAACGAGCGTGTGGCCTAACAGATGTGTCCCCCAGCAGCAGGACCCAGGCCATGGGCAGATCCATCCCCTGAAAGGCCGGCTCCTGCTCTGTGTGATGGCGGGCCCTCTTTCCTCCTTGGACAGAAGGCCTTCGTTATTTTTTTTGAAGCAACCCATTTATTGGCATTGCATCCATTTGCTAACCAAACACCATAAATAACTCGTCTAGTCCCGGAAAACACGCTGCTGGTGGCTGAGAGAGCCTGGCAGGCCGAGGCTCCTCTCCCTTGAGACTCTCCTGCAGGCCCATGGCGGGAGGTTACCACAGCAGAGGATTTGTGCCCCCATCGTGGAATCGGACCACTTGCTGTCTTCCCACTCGTCTTTGTCTTATGACCCACATTAAAAATGCCATCAAGGCCTGAGCTGGTGGTAGACAAGTTTGATTGTCCCATCTTCTTCTAGAGTTGGCCTAGCTGTGATGGTCTCGTTGAGAGAGAAGGAAAAGAGAAGATGTAGTGAGCGACCCTGAGGGGCTGCAGGAGGAATAGCGGGGTTAGTCTGCTGCTTTGAGGCAGGTGTCTGTGAGTTTTGGACACTGAAGTTAAATATGACTAATGCTTCTGTGAGCTTTATTTCCTCAGTAATTTGTGACACCTCAGAAGGGCCTCATTTTTATAGGAAAGTGGTTTCTGAAAATGAATGCATTTGAGACTGTTGATGTGAGCATCCAAAAGGGTTACTCACCTTGAAAACCTGGGTCACAGATTCTCTTCCCATATCTGACACTTGCTGACTTTGGAAACTTCAGTAAATCACTTCTTTCTTCCTCAGTCACCTTCAAAGAGGAGTAGTGTTACCTGAGTTGTGACCATAAGTACATGTGAAGCAGCTTTAGTGCCTTTTAACAAGAAGGTCTTGGCATATAAACTCCCTTTTATCACCGAGGTTTGAGATTCATGTTATTGCAGCAGGATACTTCAGAGTTATGCAAGAACAGATACTTGATTTCGTGGAGGTGAATTCTAGGAGAACTGTAATTCTTTATTCCACTTGCATAATTTTGTTATAGGTGTTTAAAAAAAAAATTATCTGATCCCTGCAAATGTGTTGGAATGGGAAGGAAGCAGCATGTTTTACACAAAAGCTTCAAAAACTAAATCCAAATGAATAAACATGTGGAGGGCTTTCTCTTATTTTTCCCATTGATTGTCATATGTATTGAGGCAGGAGCAATTTCCAAGACTGAGTTTCTAACCCGCACTCCATTTGATATCTCAGATGTTCCAAGAGCTGCTGTGGCCATTCACAACTGTTAATCCTTCAGCATTTTATAGAGGGAGGTCACAAGAGCTGTTGGCTGGAGCGCTCGGAAGACTGCTTTCAGCTTTGGAATAGCAAATTTCCAGTGTGGAGCATTGTTATAAAGCCAGGAACTGCTATAAATAAAACCACTGAAATGGAAGTTGAATTGAACTGTGCTGGAGGAAGTGGTTCTATTTACAGTCAAGTATTATTGTTCATCTTGACTTTTAGTCTAAATAGACAGTAGACTGCAGAAGAAAGAAAGCAGTGTTGCCTAGTCATGTTCTTCAGGTCTGGGACACTAGAAGAACTCCTTTGAAAGGCAGTCTAAACAAAATTAATGTATGAATCTTGCTAAGAATTCTTCAATTTAAATTCCTTTCGTTGGGTCCCTCTAGGGTTGTTCTGCTTATGTTGGAAAAGTATGCACATAATTTTAGTCAAATTGCCTCTAAGCGATTGGTATTTATGACTAATGGCTGAAGGAGTATTTCAGGGGAGTTTGCTTTGCACTGTTTGCATTGTGTTGGATATTCGTTGGATAATATTTTTATATTTGGAATTCAGTTTTGGGGTCTGAAACAAAAAATTCTCTTTGGATGTGGCTGAAAGAAAAGTGTTTTATTCAAAGAGAGTAATAATTACTGCTTCTTTCTCTTGGAAGTTTAACACTAATAAGGTCTTTAGCCTCTTCTCCCTGTTGTGCAAGGAAATTGATTTATCTGTGTCATGGAATGGCTTGGAAGTGCCTGAATATACATGCTGAAGATGTTTAACGTAGGTGCTTGGTGTAGGACCCTTAGGTCAGACCTGTCTCAGGGGCAGAGTTTCCCCCGCCCTGTCCCAGTCATTTTTCCTGCGGACAGACTGATGTGCCATGTGAGGGATGGGTATCTAGCAACCTGACATTGGTCAGGTCAAAGCTCAGAGAATTCCACCTGTGCAATGAGAAGGTTTGGGATATATAGCCCTTGGGCACCTCCATAAGAGGCTCTGTACCAATTTCAGTTAAGAGTGGCTAGCTGGCTCCTACATCTCTTTTCAGAGAAGATTGTACTTATAAAGAGTTGTTGGAAAGCTGCTGCTATGCAAGAGCAGCTCTTAAAAACAAATCATTTTTTAAAAGGAATTACAGTAAACCCTTTTAATTTGCAAACTTTGCAGTTGAGGGCATAAACAAATAGCAGAGATTCCTAGAAAAGTGCATAGTACTGGAAGATAAATATAGCTTCACAAATTGAAAAGAAGGAGGAGGTAGAGAAGTAACGTCTAAGAAGAGATAATTGAACTTGTTGTCATTATGCTACTGATAATGGGAGATTTGATGTCACAGATAGATTGCTGAGTTTGGCACAGTGTTTGATAGACTTCTTCCAGGCAAGGACAGGAGAAGGGTGCTGAGGAGCTTTTTTTCATGTTTATGCAGTTTCTATAAAATAAGGATCGTGAGTTTTAGAAGAAGGCAGGAGAATAGATGCTTGGGTTTTTTCTGTTTTATTTTGAAGAAAAAAAAAGAAATTTAGACCTCTCTGTTTTAAAACTGGAAGCTTTTAAGGGCATAACATTACTGCAATAGTGTTGGGTTTTGGTTTTTTTTTTTTGTTTTTTGTTTTTTTAAGTTAGAAGTGACAAGAACCCTAGGTAGATAAAGTCAGCACTTGAGATAAAGTATCCTTGCTATACCAAAGTGTCCTTGCTATACCCAACAGCTTTGGTGTCATTTAACTACAGAAACCACCCTTAAACAAATATCTTGAGTTGTTCTAGTTTGATCCCCTGACAGTTATTTCAGTGAAGCAGATGCCCCCTTGTCCAGAGATCCACTAAGTTGTTGGTATTATATTTGGGAAAGTAACTGTTCACATGTAAGTCTTCATTAAGAGTTCTTATAAAAAGATAACAGCAAAGATAAGAAAGCCTTGAAACTCAACTTATGCATGCAGAGAGAGACCCGCATCCTCTGGCATTTGCACATTCTCAATTCTTTGTTTCTTGTGCCTTTTCTGAAGCCAGCTGCTTTGCAAACATTTCCTTTGCTTTGGTTTTAGTTTGCTTTGGCCGCTTTCCCCTCCTTTTTATTATTAAATGCATTTTCAAGCATGCTCTAATGTCTGCTGTTAACCAACTTCTCAGCCCAGGGCCGGACTCGACCATCGAGACGAATCTCCTTCTCCTTCAGCATCTCTCCATTCATTCCTAAGTCTAAAACTCTCTTTTCTATTGGCTCTTCTTCCAGTGATGAGGAGGAGGAGTTGGATAGTAAGTAATCACCTGTGTGTTGCAGCTGTTATGGGTGGAAACAAAGGGAAATCTAGTTTTCTGCTTTAGACCTTGAAGTTTCAGCTTGCAAACACTGAACTAACCTCTCCATTTTGTGATGCCTAACAGCATTATCTTAGTCTTGTATCGGAATAGTAGCTAATGGCAGAATAAAAGGATTATAATCCAAAGAGGCTTGTATATCAGCACCATCATGTCTCATCTGGTTAGTTTTTGTCAGTATCCAAGTGGCAAATACCATCATCTGCCATTCTGACCAGCAGTATAGTTGTTACTTTTTTTATTAAATCCAAAATACTTGCTTGAGATTGTTGCAGTGCATGGAGTTAAGAGAAGAAGTAGATATTTGCCCTCCGTGTGTGGGAGTGAGTACGTTGCTCTGTGGAAGTAGAAGAGGAGAGAAGCCCTGATAGTAAATCCTGAAAATCTTGGTTACAAATTCACGGTTTCCCTACTGAGCAAAAACCATACATTGCGGCCAAACACCTTAACTAATCAAGGTGTTCGTATTTAGGTCCTGATATTATAATCAGAAGAGTTTTGTTGGGAAATGGGTGAGCATTATATGATAGCTTTTTTTTTTCCTCCTGCAAATTCCATTGCTAAAATAAACCAAACTAAGGCAAAAGATGGAATTAAAGTCATTTAGATTCCTCTTGTTTTTTTAAACAAGCTTATCAAAGATAATTGAAATTGCTTCCTATTTCTTAAGCATGTTTTATTAGACTGTTGGAATAAATCAGAACAGATAATTCTCTATTTAAACAGAAAATTCAGAGCAGCTGGATTAGTTGGTTCAAATTAAAGGTTTGCAAGGAAACTAGCCCTCATCCCTTGTGTCCATACTGGGATGAGGGAAATTGCTTTCCAGTCCTACAGATTTTGGTTGCTTCCTGAATTTAAAAACTCTCCACACCATCCATGTTGTAGGTATTTAAATTCTCCTCCTTTCCATTCCTAGTCTTCACTGTGGTTTTGTCCCTTCCTACAAGAAAGTCCCGTGCTCTTCCCAGGTGTGATACTACCCACTTCCATATTTATCCTCTTTCTTCCTTTCCCTTTGTTCTGTCCTTCTCTTCTGCCTTTAACAAAACTCTCAATTCATGGTCCCACAAAGTGAGCTGCAAACACACAGCTGTGCATTAATGTCACGCTCCCACGGTAAAAAAATACTCTTAGCTAAACTTCTTGGTGGATTTGGTTTTTCAATTGTTTTTGTTTTTTGTTTTGTTTTATTTCTTTTTGTTTGTTTTAAGCATCCAAGCAGTTAAGTAATTCCTAATAGGTTAGGTTATAGCGATTTTGGAGGGTATTTCTGATAGCTAGTATTTATCTTCTCTCAAAAGCGCTGCTGTTACCGATGAGCATTTAAAGTAATGTTGGATGTTGTCTCAAGCAAAAATGTTGCTCTCTTTACATGTGTTTTTTTCCCCTCATATTTGAGGGTACTGTGGTGACTTTTATATAAAGGTTGGTTTAGCCACAGCTATTCATAAGGCTGCTTTGGCAATGGGCATTTTTCATGTAGTAAACCCAGACTAGTTTGTTTATTTTTCCACATCTTCAGGGTTCATTTCTCATGAGAGGCTGGATGTGTTAGCAGTGGGATGGCACTTGCATTTCACTTACCATCCCTCAACATCTCCATGCCTCTTTCTCTCTAGAGTATGGACAATTAGTTGCAGTTTGTTTGATATAATGTATTTAAGATGTGGATTTCAGATGACTGAACAAGCCTGTCTGTGCATTTTAGAAAATTATTATGAAGTCTTTGGATTTCTTGACCCACTGAAGTTTAATTACTGCCAACATTAAGGAGTTGCGAGCTGGTTTCTTTTGTTTGTAATATCCTAGTCCAGACCCTGCTTTCTGCGAAATGGACCTTGATAAATTATTTCAAGTCCAGCTGCCATATGAAATAATTTTGGTGGGTGATTCTTACGAGGTGTTCAGTTAAGTACACCAAAATTGGCTGCTAGCCCAGATTCATTGGACACAGATAGCAGTCCTGGTCTTCAAACAAAACTAATTTATTTTGTGGGCTGTGAAATCAGTTTTGGCATTTCAGTTCTGAACCTGGTCATGGTAGGAAACACAATAATTATGGAAATAAACCTCCTTTGCCCCCTTCTACGCCAAAAAAACCCCCTGAAGGTGAGAAAATGTGCTTTTCGATGCTCATCATCTTGGGCTTTATAGCTTTCAACAGAATGTTGATCATATGATATTACATTGTAGACTAAAATACGAAGCTATAAACAGGCTTTCACCTTGATTTTTGTCTGGATCAGTTTTGCCTGCCAGTGTAAAGAATCCCACACTTTTAAAATAAATCACTATTGCAGTACAAGATAAATAGTACGTAGTTCAAGTTGTCATGCAGTGTGCTTTCTCAAGGTGCTGAAAACCAGTCACAAATACCAAATTATTACAGCTCTTGATTCAGTGTTCATGCGTATTTCTTACGTTAACTGCAAAGAAGCAAACAAGTTTGTTCAATACTTAAATCCAGTCAAATTGATGAATCTGTTAAAAAAAAAAAAAGACTAAGTAGGCTTAACCCATGTTAAAAGCAAACTAGAGCAGAAACAGAGTCACTGGCGTGTTAATCAGGGAGTTGTGAGTCTGTAAATTACTTGTGTGATCTGAGTAGGTGTTTAGGTGTTTATACTATATAAAAACCCAGCACAGTCAGGAAATTGAATAGCGTACTTCGTTTGACATACATTACAGTTATTACTAACTTTGATGTATTTGGGATAGATCATTAATTAGGTGAAAGGTTTTGCAAAGGAGATACTAACAGCGATCGCCAAGCAAAGATTAGGTAATAGGGTATGCCTGTATTTCAGCTTCTCAATAGGAAGAAATTATATTTCTGTCTTGGGCTGTGTTGACACTTGAATCAGCAGTTAGGAAAATGTGTATTTTAGAATCATAAGGCATAATATCGTATGCAGTTTTTCCTAATGCCCTTACTGCTTTTGGGTAGGGGACCATCTTTGCCTCTGATGTCAAGTGGCTCTTTTCCATTCACCCTTCGCTTTAATATGTTCACAGAATTTGAAGCCAAAGTACATTTTTTCTTACAGTGTATATGCAGAAGCCTAATAAGGTGACCAGTCGTGTTGTTTCTTGAACTTCAGATAGGACTGCAAACAGTGCTTGTAGTGAGGGTTTTTTTGGAGTCCTGACAAGCCCAGTTACTCCAGAGAGAGCCCTGTGCCCTCTGGATCATTTCATTCTGATGTTTCAGTGTTCTTCGATGGTCCTGGTAAATGCTGTCAGCTACCTAATCTGCTCCAAATGCATTGTGCAAGCAGGTTTCTTGTGGTATAAAGAGAGTTTGTGTCATTGGCAGGGCTTCAGCTTCATGTCAGAAGTCAGACTTTCCTCAAGCACAGTGTTGTGTGACTAAGCCCTAGGCTGGTAATGTTTCGTGGAAAACAGAATAAGGCTTCTGTTGTTTTCCTTACTCTTTATGAAGTGCTTCAGGATTTTGATGGGAAAATGAACTATAATTTCATCAAAGAGAAGAGTTTTAGACATGAAACCCGGATGTGTTGTACAATAGATTCTTTCTAGTGATGTATAAATAAAAGCGTTGTGGCAGAATGATTCTCACTTATACCTATTGTCATTGAATTGGCAGTTCTGATTCAAATACCATGATGTACCAGCAAATCTAACAGATGCACATCCTTTGCTTAATAGTTGAAGAACGATAAAAATACTAAGCAGACTTTCACCTCAACATCTAATTTGAGAGCACCTAAGGATACAGGGAACAGGCTTTATCTTGAGCACATGTAATCTATTCTAAACACTCACTTCTGGAAAACATTTCCCCTTCCTCTTGACCCATCCAAATTTTTTTATATTTGTAGAATCAGTGGGCTAAGATTGCAGTCTAACATGTCACCTCCCCACCCCTCCTTTCTTTTCCAGATACGCAGGCGTTCGGCAGCCCCACGGGTTCCTCGGTTCAGAGGTACGGTGTTTTGGGGGTACCATGTCTATTCTGGTGGAACTCCTGCAGTGGGCTGTGGTTTGGACACTCAAAAGCCTTCCTGACACTTAGTGCGCTTCAGCTGAAATTGCATGTGTCAGGCTTGTGAAAATCAGTCCAGTATGTCTAAAAGATAAAGAATATTTTAGATGATAAAATATGAAGGTCTCTTCTAGGTTTTATCTATGATAAGGTTTTGTGTTTATTCATGCATAGTGTTGCATCAGATTATCTATTACTGAACAGTTTTAGACTACCCTTAGTTATATTTTATGCTCAAAGAAGTAGTTATTCCACTCTTTGGTTAGTTCTGTCTGTATTTCTATAACAAAGACCAAAACAATCATGTTTTTGTAAGTTACTTTTTGTAACTTGCAAACTGTAGAGAGGAGATAACCTTTCTGGTGGGTGCTGGCTTTAAAAGCGCTTCCCTGGAAGAAGGACATTTGTGGCACTGGAGGAGCTGGATATCTGGTCTCTGTGTCACTCTGATAGCTTCGGCTTCTTCTGTGGCTCAGAAGCTCTTCACTTTTGCTCGCTGATGGTTTCTGCTCCTTGATTTCATTTGTCTTTCAGTTGTTCTGCTTTTGGTTTGCTTTGTACTTCCTGTTGACAGACAGTGTCCTTTAATTAAATAATAGTTTCTTCTGTAATTTCTTATTCTTCCATAGAAGCTGAAGAAGTCATAAGCTTGTGCGTGTAAAGACTGGCAGAAAATATCTGGCATCCCAGAAATGCCTAAATTAATACAAATAACCGTTGCTTTTTATTACTCAGTATTGGTGTTCTCATTTCTCAGGGGAGGCTTTGCGGACAGTGAGGTTTCTGTTAAAGACACTCACTGCCTTTTGGGAGTCCATTAGATGTCTTTCTCTAGAAAGAGATCTCTATTTAAAGGATGAATGCATGTCTTACCCCTTTCTGTCTGCTCCGCATCTGAATTATTGATGATTAAGTGCCAAGACTGACTGTATCACTGCAATATTGGGTATGTAAATAAGCAGATGCTGCGAGCTGGTTACTAGTTATTTGGCCACGGGAGCAGCAGAGGGTGCTATGGCATGATTTGAGAATGGAGATTGCTTAAAAAGAGGATTGAAAGGATTCCTTGAAACATATGACAATCTACTGGATTGGCATTTTGTCTTCCCTTTGCCTTTTTTGTATAACACCACAAATCAACCCCTCACTCTATTGGCTAGCAAATGCATTTGTCCTTTAAAAAAGAATCTATCCATTTAATAGATGCTTTGGGAGAAAAATAAAAACAACCTCTTTCTTTTTTTGATTTTTAGCATAACTGAAGAGAGCAGCAGCGTCCCTGCTGGTAAAGGAACAAAAGTCAGTCGCACCTTCAGCTACCTCAGGAATAAAATGTCCAGCAGCAAGAAGAGCAAAGTAAGTGCTTCTTGTGACTTACACAGCTGTGAAATACCCACAGGTAGCAGAGATTAATTCTGTATTTCAGTGTGTTTCCATAGGGTGCTATTTATGTCTTTCCCTGACTTTTCTTTTTTCTTCCTTTCTTCCTTTTGCGAGGGGAGGATTGTCTGTGGGGTAATAGAGAATAGCAATATGGGAAGTTTTAGCACCCCAAAATTGAAATGCATCTGATGTGAGGTTTCCTGTGCCTCTTTTCCACACAGAACAATGCTTCATTTTTTTATAGAGAATAGATTGTGCTCTGGCCTGATTTATGGCTTAGCAGTGATTGATGGGTCTAATTTTTCAGAACCTGAGAGGTGTTTAATAAAATAAGGAGCTATAAGAAGGGACTGGCTGTCAAAGGCTGTATTGTGTTTCCCTTTTATTTTTACCTTTTGCTGCAAAGTTCCTGTGCACTGTTGAAGAAGTTGCTCAAACTGTGGCCTTAGCGATGGCCAATGTTTGTTTTCCCCTTTTTTCTGCCCTTGAAACCCTGGGATTTAATTTGCTGAAGGTTAAGCACTGCTCAGCACAGCTGAATTTCCTGGGGACAGCATTGGTTACAGAAATAATTACACTAATGCTAAATACTTCACACAAACGGGCTGCTGTTGCCTTAGATTGTCCCCTGAAAATTAGTGTTTTTCACTTGAATCTTGCCTCGGTTTATCATGTCTGACAGAAGCTAAGAGCACTTTACCTCACAGTGGGCAATGTGTATGATATAGTTAGGTGAGGCGTAGCTAATATGATGGTAAACACTATTGGAAGGCCCCGAGACACATAATTACATATTCCAATGAGTTTCCAAATAGCAAATGGGAAACAAAATGTGGCATAATGAGTATTGTGCCTGTCGCAGAATAAAGCTGGGCTGAAGCAGCCATGTGTGGGAGGGGTCACGTTTCACCTGCGCAAGCAAACTTGATTTTAGCCTTTCCCATCATAAGCACTTGATGTTTCCGCCTGAGTGTTCCTCTAGTGTAGCTGTGTTTGTGTGCTGCAATGGCACAATGCACATTTTTTGAAGATTGCATCACCTTTGCAATGAGGTACCAGCTGTAGTGAGATCAGTCATCCTAACACACAGTTCCTCTTTGTGGACCTGCTTTAAAAAGATACAAGCTGCGGGTACCAGCGGCTCAGAGCTGCTGCTGAGCAGTGTGCAACATTGCTCTTCCCTGCTGTGAAGTACAATGTCAAAAAAAAAAAAAAATTTAGATAGAAACCCCTGTGCAAACTGCTAGCAAGAAGTTGTGGAGCGTGTTGCACAGCCTGTGAATGAGGCTGGAAATTTGTTAACTGATTCTTGCCCTTTGGCTGTATAATCTCTAAGCAAGAACAGGATGTGTATGAGATCTGGTTGGGGCAGGTAAGAAAATGTGACAGAGGTGCTTTGAGATATTTGCTCTGCCTTTGTTAAGTAGGTGCCATCTGATTTTGTGATTATGTCTGAAGTTGTTGACAAGGAATTGCTCCAAAATCTCAGCAATAATACACACGACAAAAACTGCAGCTCATAGAAGCTCTGATATTTTTACTAACTAAAAAGTAATAATAAAATTCAGATTACAGTTCCTTCGCTGCTCACAGTGGAATGTTTGCATTACCTACATTTTTAGAGCTTCAGCTGTACATTTAAATAATTTGACCTAAAAATTCTTGGGAACGCTGATTTCTCAGAAATATCATGGCTGATGAAAACCTGTAAGAGTTAAAAAGAAAAAACAACAAACCTTGAAAGAGGAAGTTGGACAGGAAGAGTTGGTTTCTGCTGCTGTCTGGGCTGTCAGGAGGGAGAGAGGCTTCAACTTCTTTCCAACTAGGTTTTTACTTTTCTCCAAACCTTCAGAAATCATAGTTTTCAAAGATGAACCATAAAATAAAGCATTTTTGAGCCTGCTAATGGCAACAGCTCTTTTTAAAAATGGTGTAAATGGTTGTGTTAAAAAAAAATATGTTTGGAGTATTAACTTCAGGGGATGCTGATAGACGTTGGTGAATTTACCCATGTCTAGCATATACTTTGTACTATTCAGGGCTTAGTCAGTGATTCTCTTAATCAGTAGCGTGCACTGATTCACGTTCGCGAAGTCTAAAACATGCCATGTCTCTGTCGATTAGAAGAAAAAAAAAAAACAAACCTCATTTTCTTCATTTTGGTAGAGAGTTTCTGGGAAATGACGACAAAAAAAATTAGCATGAGTAATTTCTGCTTTTCCTTGACTTGCGCAGTTATTGGGCAGTGCTGTACCACCAACAGCGTTTCAGTGTATATAGTAGGAGTTGTGAGTGTTTGAAAGGAGCAGGAGACAGGGAATATTTGTGACCTGTAGAGCAGGAGGAGTGCAAACACGCGAAATCCTTCTGTCTAGGAAATCTTCTTCAGCACTTTGTTTACTGAAGTACTACATAGCAACACTGAGGTATGTTAAAATTCACTTTTTCTGTATCTTAAACATCACAGAGGATTTGATTTACCACCTTCTGCCTTTAAAATGGGTGGTCTTGTATTGTCTTGTGACTTCTAAAATATTAATCTCATCCTTTCTGGCCTATATTTTTTCTTCTATGTTGTTTTTTTGTTTTTTGGGGGTTTTTTTAGCAGTGGAAGCTAGTGTAGGGCAAGATGAAAGCAGTAGCACAGTAGCTAAAATCATCTTCCAGGAAGTTAGCAGCAATTGTATCGCCCTCCCCCTTTTGCTCAACTCCTTTCTGACTGCCGTCCCCCCGGCCGGCTGTGCTGGCAGCCCTTGGCTGTTGCGATGGGCTAATGCTGGTGGGGAGCAGCTCTCCTGCCCCCCAGGGAAGGATGTCGATAAAATGGAATAGATTTGCTGAAGTACCTCAAATAACAGTGAAGCTAGTAGGACTTAAGAATTGGGAGGTAAGAGCTTTTGTTTGTTTTGGAGCAGGATCTGCTGGTGCAGTGCACGGTGTGTTATTTTGGGCAGTACGACTGAGTTGCGGTACACGTCGTGTCCATTAGCGCGTGTCGGTGCAGGTTCACCTGTGTAGCCGTGCTTCAAGTAGTGCTGGCAGCTCCTGATAGCATGGGAAAATGGTTTTGTTTTTACAATCCTTTTAAAAAAAATAATTTCCAGTAACTGTCACAGGAAAAAAAAAAAAAAACCTCATTTTGAGATCTTGTATTTCAGTGGCATGGCTGGCATCCCGTGTATGAAGTTTGCTGTTTCCTCCTTGAAAGTGGTGCACCCATTTCCTGTTTTTCCTGGGGTCATTCAGCTTTAATTAAAATGGTTTTTACAGTGATTTTATGAAGACAGGGTATTATTCCAGACTTTAGAATTACTGGGCTTTGCAGTAAACATCAGGTACATTTAAAGTGTAGGATGGTGAATCTCCTTTCAGCATTTTAAGCGTGAGAGTCACAAGATTTGCCTTGAGCATAGGGTGATCTTTTCTCCTGGAGCTTCACAAGTCTTCGCAATAGAGCAAAACTCCAGGTATCAGCTTGGTGCCATTAGCCAAGGACTAAAATGCAAAGTTTTAGTTCTTGAATCCTGCCAGGCTGGACACAGTTAAAGGTGGGCAGGGCAGTGGATGGAGAACAGGGCTGTGGAGGTTTATGTGGGGTGGTGATCCGAGCTGATGGCTTAAAGGAGGTGCAGATGTGCCACAAAGCAGATTCCTCCTGGCAGGCTTTCTGCTTCAGACAGGATTATTCCATATGGTAATGCTTCTGGTTTTGCTTATTTGCAGAACAAAATAGCGTTTCAGGGCAGTAAATAGACGTTCTGTTTATGAGGCTTTGCAGTGAGAGACTCCAGCACTGGCATTTTGCCCAGGGTGTTGGGAGAGGGGAAACCTTAGGCTGAGTTACTAATTATTTGAGTGTGTCATCAAAGGCTCAAAAGTTTCCCTGACGGTGACTGCGGAGCTCGGTACCTCTTTTAACCGCTTCATGGCGGTTGCTCACATGGGCTGCTCTGCAGCTCTCTGAGATGTAGGCTGTGACAAGATTCAGTAAAGGCCCATGACATATAAATAACAAAATACAAAGATAAGCTTACAGAAGCCTTTACCATTTCTGGTTAAGCAGTAACAGTTAAAATACAGATGTGGAGCTGAATTATATGGTAAATATTTTGTAGAGTGGTACACAGAAAGAAAAGGAGTCACTGTAATTCAAATTTGGAGGTTTTCTATGGAGTTTCCTTTAAAAATTGTTTGGGGAGAATTCCAAATCCACAAAAGGCTGCAGGGAAAAATGTTTCAAATTTTTAGTATTTAGCATTTTCTATCTCAGGTGGTGAAAGAAAGTTAAGCAAAAACTCTGATAAAAATTGGAGAATCTGGCTATGCTTGTAATCTTTCCAAAGCTGAGTAGCCTTGGCTTCCCGAAGACAAGATAATATTTTATGGTGTTGCTGTTGTTCCTCAGCCTCTCTGTGGTACCTTATTTTGAGAGTTTGTGAAAGATCCATTTCCCCAAAAAGCTTCACATAATTACTTGGGGTTGCATGAAACTGTTGAAAAAGTTGCTAGTCAGAAGGAAAACAGAGGTGGAAATATTCTGGCAGTGATGCTGTACCCGCACCGAGAAAGAGCTTGTGTTCTCCATTAAAAATGCAGTTGCAAAGCACAACTCTTATGGGTTGGCCTTAAAAATTAACTACGTTGAAAGTTAGATACACATTACACAGGGTGTTAGTATTTAACACAATTCATTGAAAGTGCTGAAGAGATTGATGAGAGCCTGGAAGAAAAGAGGTAAGTCATTAAACAAAGCAAAAATAAAACAAAGGTAGAAGAAAATAGCTGCTTTTAGAACAGATTCAGTTTCGTCTCCACTGGGGAGATATCTGTGCAGAAGGCGCTGCGAGTCAATAGTATGTTAATCCATCCAGGGGGGCTGTAAGCTGATGTTTTTAACAGAGAACTGTGCAGACACATGACTATTGTTAAGGTGTGCGCCGATCAATATCGTCATAGTGCCAAAAGCAAACACTGAAGAATTTGTAACTAGAGAATAGACCTCTGTGAAGTAAAGAGACATTTGTTCATTTTCTTTTGGCAGGAAAAAGAGAAAGATAAAGAGAAGACTAAAGAGAAGGACAAAGATTCCAAGGAGAAGGAGAAAGATAAGAAGCTATTAAATGGACATCACTTCACTGCAACCACCGTTGTAGCCCAAGCAACCTGTTACCACTGTATGAAACCTTTCAATAAGGATTCGTACTACTGTGCAAGTAAGTCGGGGTTCTTCCCCCCCTTCCTTTTGTTTTTCTTTAAATCTGACATGGGAAATGTGAACCTGACATTTGATTTTCCTCTTAAGGATGTGGGGTGGGAGGGAGACTCTGGACATAGTGATTCATGGAGCAGTGTGTTGCCTTATGGCAGCTGGACAGAAATGAGTTGTGGCTGTTAGGAGGTGTCCTGAAACCTCCTTCCTAGCCTATGCTCAGACATCGGAGCATCCCGTGGGATTTTCTGCTCCTGCTTGTTGGGATGTATCAGTCAGCTGGAGGACTTTGGTTATTTCAGCTTTGTGGTGGCTTGGGGCTGAGGTGCTTTGTTAAGATGGATGGAGGACAAGAAAAGCTGGCTTGGATTGCGGCTTTTATTTCCAATGGCAAAAAGCATGTGCCACTCATCTGTAGCGTATTGCTTGAGTTCTCTGATACACTGCTTTGAGCCCTCAGTGAGAACAGCATGATACAAAAAAGGAAAAACTAACCCTGTTCTCCCTTTAGACATGAAATTGCATCACAGGTCAAATGGCAGCTACCTGTGTGCATATGACGTACGTGCAATGCAATGCACGCGGTATGGGAACCACAGCGCAGGGTTTCTGTGAGATTCGTCATTTTGTTCTCTTTTCTTATCAGACTGTTTCTCATACCTCTGGCTTGATAAGGTCAGCAGCGTTTGTGTGGTCGAGACCAGAATGGTAGCTGGTTCATGCAGCGACCCAAAGCCGTAGAATATGCAGACGAAAATGTCTTTTTCCCACTGCAGCCCAGGACTCTCCATTCCTCACTCTTAGTAATATTTTTTACTCCGCTAGCCTAGAGATGAGTCGAAGCGTGTATGGGAATTGCTCCCAGGCTGGAGCAGGAGGCTCTGTCTCTGTTACTGGTAGATGAGCAGTACATAAAGCATCTCCAGTGAGCCGGGGAAGGAGCAGCCAGCTGAATCCCGAATGGCAGTTTTGAGTTTCCTGGAAGAGAAGAGATTTCTGCGAAGTTGTTTGCATGAGACACGCTCTGTGTCAGCCGGATGGGAAATGGAAAGCATCAACAATTATGAGCTCTCAAATGCATCCTCTCCCTTTCCTCACTTGACTTTCTTAACAGCTTATCAAGCCACTTAGAAACGTTAAAATAATCCAACAATGTCATATGTTTTAGCATAAATGTTCCTTCCTTATTTTTCAAGGTACAACAGAAAATTATTCTAAGTTTTCTGCATTGGCCAGAAAATGAACACCACAAGGAAAGTTTGGTCGGGATCCAGGTTGTAAGCTCGCATCTCAGAGTGGGTCTTTTTCACGTGGCATCTTAAAATCAGCCATCAAATGTCGTGGAAATGACTCATAACCAGTCATGGTTCCTTGTTCCTGTGCTGTTGTAAACTGTTTTCCTACAGAAGTGTCAGTGCTTTACTGCTACATCACTGCTCTGTCTCGCCTATGGATAACTTTTTCTTAATGCTTTTTAAAGCACTGGAACATTTTAAATCGATGTCTTAACTTTTCAGTGATGCCCCCAGCTTCCTGAAACAGTGAGTCAATGCTGAAAGATTTAGTGTGCTCTAAAACAAATGGACAAGAAAAAAATCCTAATTTTTAATAGCCTTCTGCCTGGTCTTTTTTAATTTTTATGATCAATGATGCAGAAAATAAGCTTTTGGGGGTTTTAATTATTAATGCTAGTGATACAGAGGGTTGGAGAAGCTTCCTGCCTGCTGAAGAGTTGAATTGGAGGAATAAAGACCCTGAAACCAGATTTTCCATCTAAAAAATCAAAATGCCCTGTTGCTAAATGGTGCATATTAAAGAGCTGCCTTCAGGCTTTCAAGGCTTGAGAGTGTGAATTTAATGTGTCTGAATTGTCTTGCTGCCCCTTTTCATGCAGTAGAAGCAGGTTCTGTCCCTCTTCCTTGTTTGATCTGAAAAATGATACAGCTTGTGGGTTTTTGCAAGAACGTGCAGGTTTCTTTATTCTGTCTCTCTTGCACAGGAAATTGTGGGACATAACAGAATAGCAACGCCCTATGGCCTTACCCTTAGCTCTGAAAATATCAGAAGAATTACTGGCTTTTATTAAGTAATCCCAAATGTAAAAAAAATTTTAGCAATGTGAGCATATTTTGTCATTCTGGACGTGGAATTTTTTCGTTTCATATTTCTTCTAGAAGTAATTCAGAACTGTACGCCTGCAATGTGATGTACACTTAAAATATAATTCATGATCTGTGTTAATGTGTTTTCATGAATGAGTGGAAATAACAGGATTTCTCAAAGCTACTGAATCTCATCTGAAAGCATTTGAGTTGTGATCTTTCATCTGTCAGAAGAGTTAATACTCCAAACCTAATTATGAAAAAAAAAATTTAATCATCTTTGAAAACTTTGATTCCCAGAAATCTGCTGGCAGAGACCATGGGCAGACTCAGGATATTCCAGAAGGGGAGTACACAGCTTTTGCTCTGGCGTGCAGCAGAGGGTGGTAGTAAAGCATGATGCTCTTTGCATTGGTAAATGTGGTTTCAGACCAGAACAGTGGCTTCAGTCTAGTTTTCAG